GTCCAGAAGTTTGGCACAATTTACACGCAAGAAATACATTAATATTTTTATTTGTCAGATAATAATTTCTGAGTTTCGGTCCAGTGTACAACATGTTCGCTAAAGGGAATAGTTATAGTGATGCATAGACTGTATAACGAGGAGGATTAAGGGAGTTTGACGTCACAAATTAGGCCCTATCGGTTATAGGAGTGAAATATAAGGAATAGGATTTTATTTACAGACATAAATAATAATAAAATAACAATAAAAACACCAGGATCATGTTGAGTGGGTTAATATGAACATTTTAAGACCAAAATGACAAGTCTCACTGCAGCAGTTACAGAGAGTAGGGTGACTTTATTCCAATGTAAGTCAGTCAGAGCCAGGGTCAGAAGGGGCCAGAAGTGCCTCCTGACCCTGGCTCTGATTGACACGCAATTTAGCATGCGGTGGCCAGCAGGTTAGCTATATCCTTTTATATATACAGTCTACGGTGTGAGGTCATGATTTCCAACCAGGAAGTAAAATTTAAAACCTAAAAGTGGCCAAAGTGGGAACAGAATAATACATGTTTTATCTAAATCTTAAATATAATGATCTTAAGTGCGTTTTAGTAAAATGAGTCCAACCTGTCATAGGCTCTTTAATTTATGATTCTCACAAGGAAATTGTAATTTAATAGTTTCTTCATTAAGCTTGATTAGGCCTGCATAATTAATAGATCCTGACTGAAAAGGTATTTCTTGAATGTGTAATCAACATTTTTGAACATTATGTGCACATTGACTTCCCTTTAGCGTTTGCTTGAGTGAAAAAGTTCCTCATTCTACCTTTACAATTAATTCTAAAGTCTAATTTTACAAGATAAGTTACCTGCCTTTATTTAAGCTGTTCATTTTCTTCATTTTAGGTACAGTGATGCGCCACTTTTTCTCTGAGCAAATAACCGTTAGAATAATCGAGATTTTTTTTTCGTCTTTAATCAAGCAGCGCCACTAAAAATTAAAACTTGCCTGCACAAACCAAGGATTCATATTTTAAAGCAGATCTTTTATGCAAAATTGACTTTTCAGAGCTTTTAACGATGCTATAGTTGTTTTCCCTTCTTATTTACCTTCTCAGATTTGTATTTGGAGTGATTTATGTGTTTTTGAGCAATCTTTAATCGCTTAATTTCAAGACGCCATATTGCTGATCAGTCCCCATTTTCACTGTCACCAGCATACGCTCTGCACAAGTACAATAGGTCTTCTGTAACATTATTGAATTTGAATATAATGATTTTTAATTGATTATAATCGTGGAATATAATGACTTTATTTTTCTGTTTCAGCATTTTGAAGGAGCAGATCTACCTGAAGCCACAAATCAGGACCTGGACTTGTTGATGGATGAGCAAGACCAGTTTAGACACGGTGTGTTTTCGTAAACCTCAAAGTTAAAACATTTAACCATGTTTCTGCCAAACCAATTATCCATTTAATCTTTATTTCCTGATACTTGATCCTGATACTAATGGTAACAGATAGAGAGAATATGCCAACATGCAAAACACCTGTCATCTTCATGAAGGAAATAAATTATTTTTAATTTCTCGTAAACTAGTTATCTGTTTACGAGAAATGACTGTAAAATGTCCATCATCTTCGCTCTACATTTGCATTTGTGGGTTTAAAAGATTTCTGACAGCTTTGCATATTGTACAGTAAATGCTAAGCATTATTAATTCACAGGATGAGACTATGGATAGGCAAGTTTAAGTTTAATTTTAAGTTTGAAATGCATTTGATTAATAACTTCTTTTGTTAGAAGAGATAGTATGATCTGAGATATAAGTAGGCTTCTCAATAACACCTCAGATAATCACTGCAGTGATACATAATGATATATTAAAACTAGAAAAGCACTCAGAGAGCGCAGACCTCCGCCAAGGACTACCCCCATTTTTTATATAAATTGCGATAAAATCAGTCTTCTGGATCAGATCCGGATCAGCCTTTGGAATATGAAAGAGGATCCCATTGTCCATCCCTGAGTCAAATTTCATGGGGTTTGGTCAATAATTAACCGAGATATTGAGAAACAAAATTTTTGGCCCCATTTACCACAATGTTAACAAAAATTTCAAAGTGATCCAGAATCCAGGATTTCTTCCGGATCACCCCAAAATGAAATCAGTTCTTCCTTTTCACATTTCCAACAAATCCTGAAAATTTCATCAAAATCGGTCCATAACTTTTTGAGTTATGTTGCTAACAGACAAACAGACAAACAAACAGACAAACGCCGGCAAAAACATAACCTCCTTGGCGGAGGTAACAATGAAAAATCATTGGAGACTTGATTCATACAACTTTGTATGTATTATGTTATTACAGATTTGGAGGAGCAGCTGGGAGATGGGAAAGACAGGAGCAGAGACCTCATGTCGTCCATTGACCAGTGAGAATCTAAACACTATGATAGTTCAAACAGTTTAACACTTTAAATCTGTCATTTAATTCAATTTAAATGTAGACATTTTGTTCTCGGTTTTAAAGACTGTCCCTTTATGTCCTGTAGGTTGAGGGAGTCTGTGGGGCCTCATCGGGACAGTATGTGGCTGCAGGAGGAGGACATGGGACAGATGGTGGAGCACCCAAAGGCCCCTCTGTCTCAAGAGATGACTCCTGTACACGTGACCATGCCCATCTCTCCCACCGCCAAGGCAGAAGAGGTGAGACACACCAAGGATTAACATGAAATCTAGACTTTATTAACAAATAAAATGATCTTTTAAACAGAGTATCAGTGTACACATTTGTGAATGTACTAGGAAATATAATGACAGAATTTTTTGACTAAATTATTAAAGGTGCATTATGTAATTTTTGAGGAGAAATGTCGTCCATCTGAATCAATGGAGATCTTATAGCTTTTGTCTAGAATTTTCATCTGTATGGCATTTAATGCATCTAATCTCCATAGAGACCAGTTACACCCGGTCATGTTACAGGTCAGATATGTGAAAATCACGGCAATAGTTCTAATGTATGTTTTTCAAGCCGTTTTAGCTATTTAAACGGCTGTAAATGAATACATGTGATAGTATTCATTTGCCATTCTGTGCAACATTTCAGGCACCGCATTTCCATGGAGACAAGCTGCTGACATACTGCACCATTAATTATATCTTAATTTTCTGGCTTGTTTGGAAATATGCTTTACTCATAACTGACTGAACTCATATTGTCTTATATTTTCTCATCTGTTGTCTAACCGTACAGGAGCTTGATAATGAATGAACTTGAGGTCATGAATTAACTTTAAATGATTCAGTGCTTTGCTGTAGCTCTGTCTCTTTACATTCCTCAAAGTGACTCATGACCTGCTCCAGTCATTTTGGAAACCGGCTGACCTCACTCAGGCGTGTCTCTATATTATTATATGATCATAATTTCCAACAATGTTTCCTTTATGTCATGTTACTTATCATGTTTTGTTGTTGTTTTTCTTTGTCCTCAGCTGATCACCCGTCCTGTTCGGAAACAAGGTGGAACTCGCAGACGGCAGCTCATTTTTGCCGATGCTGAAGTCCAGATTTCAAATAAAGAAATGAAAGTGCAGCTTGAGAATCCTCAGGCAGAGACCCTAAATGTGGTAAATAAACATAGATCAAACAGACAGTAATGTTTATATTTGGGTTTTTGGTTTACACAAAATGATTTATGAGGAGTTATAATTACAGAAGGAACCAGGAACAAATAAGTCAAATCTTAAATTACTTTCAGTTACACCCATAACTAATGTCTGTATTTTTATTATGGGGTAAGATTTATTAAACAAAGCCTCCTGTGGGCTGTGCTGTACGGTGTGAAAAGGCTAATTATCTTACAAAAGAAGAAAGTACATAAATCCGTCTGAAATCCTTTTATTATGTAACACTGTTATAATAAATTAATCTTGACGTCAGTAGGGTTTTAAGGCACTATGTAACCTTCAGGTGACGGGTACCTGCTTGTCTCCATGGAGATGTTAATTGATTTGCTTGGAATGTTCCGCAGTCTGGCATGAAACTTCTTCACCAAAACATGTATTCTTTCTGTGAGCGGGGTCGCCTCTCCGTAGATCTGACTTAAAACTGGTCTAGCGGTGACGTCTGTTTGTCTCCATGGGGATAGTTATGTTATGCTTTACTGAGGAACATTCTAGGCAATAACTTTTCCAGCAGGCGGCAGACTTTCCTTCAGAAAAATTAGATAGAGCGCCCAAATTATACTTAAAGAATAGCATGTTTTTGAGAACAAGGACACTAAAATGCTAAGGACAGTACGGGTATGTTATAATTTAAGTAGTTTCTGTGTTAATTAGATCAAATAACTGTGCAGGCTGAATTTGCAGAGTTCAATAACCTAAATTTTCACTCTCCACTGGTCTGTAATCAAAGCGTGCCCATCATCAGGCTGTTTCCTGATTAAAAATACTCTCCAAGTTCCTCTTTAGATCAGACGGATTACACTCCTACTCCATATTTTACTTAATTTTACTGTTTGGCATTTGTGTGGTTGAAGCAAATCTGGGGCTAAACCAGGACAGTTACTGGTACATTAAAAGTGCTGTACCCAATTTTTCCATGTAATAAAGAAAAATGTGTCTCGCCCCAGTACAGATATGTTGTAAAAGCAGCTCTTAAAATCAAAACAATACCACGGCGAACTGTACGCATCTTATTATAAAGCATTTTTATCGTCCACAAACCAGGAAGTAAGGCTGGAGTGCCATTCTTAAATAAGCTCATAAAATCATCGTGGAGAATAATTGCTTTTAAAATTGACTAATTCTGCTTTTTTAAGACACTAAATATCTGTTACAGCACTTTTAATGTTTTTTCTTCTCTGGTTTTAGTCTGACATCTTGATGAACTTTGCCTCTGTGACGAAGCACTCCACTCCTGCACAACTCTTCAACGCCCCCTGTGGAAGTGAGTAGTACTACACTACAGAACACTGCTATATTAGATACATTTGGTACATTACTTTATTTACCAATATCACAAAATGCCTTTAAGAGCCTATTGTCCCCAGTTAAGAATTACACACAAGACAGTCATAAGTAGACCTGTCACAAATTTTGAAGTATGATATATTGTTACAGAACAATATCATGATACATGCTAATATTGAAACTACTTTTACCACTGACACAATAAACCCAAAGCAGGATGATCCCAGTCAACCTTTTAATTAAGTGAAACATACTGAAAAAATTAGGCCAGCAAAAAATAAATTGCACAATTAAACAGTGTAGTAGTAGTTAGTATTGTATCCATAAATAATTTATCACAGAAGTTAATTATTCAACCAGCTACAGCTCATATGTTTTCATAGAGGCTTTGTTTTGTTTAATTTACATTAAAGCATTTAATGTTGAAGTGAAATGTCGAGCTGTATCAATAGATCATAAAGTTATATTCTCCACTGAAAAGTGGAGTTAAGTGGAAATGTAGAATTTTTGGTTGCTTGGTTATTTTCCTATCTTTTTTTTTGGGGTAAATTCTCATAGTTTTGCTTTAGTTATATTCTCCATTGAAAAGTAAATTTGTCCATCACTGTCTTAACTAATGTAGAATTTTTGGTGGTGTTCAGACCTGATCCACTCCGACCTGAAGTCCCTTTGGAAAACCAGCGCTGTGCTCACGTCCTTCACTGGACCCGAGGAGGAGGTCCCAGGGGAGGAAGAGGAGCAGGAGAGAGAGATAATGATGACGGAGAGGAAGAGGAGACACTCAACCATGAAAGAGGTCAGGAAATATCAATGTTTACTTTAGTGTTAATGTTGTGGCCAAACATCCTTGCTAATGCCCGACCTATCTCATCTCAGAAGTTACGCTGGTTAGGCCTGGTTAGCATTTGGATGGGAGATACCAGATAGTGCGAGTTGGCCTCTCGCAATATTTACAATGTCGACTTAACGATCAATATATGAAAGCTGAAACTAAATGTGTAGGTCAGTATTTATCATGTATATTTTCTTTGCACTAGTGGGAAATGTGTGGTTATTTTTGGTAATACAATACAAGATCTAAGAGGTTGAATTAATCACTTCTATGACTCATTACAGATCCAAACTAAGTACTCAAGTGTTTCATTGTGCTATGTTTTTATTGCAGCTCATGTTTTTTTCTTTTTGTTTTTTTACCATATTGTACATTAAGAATAGTTTTTGTGGTGTAAATCTGTTCTTGGATTTTTTTTGTCAATGGTATAAATTAGTCAGTCCAGTTGTTTATTGTTTATATTTACTTCAGCAATATATCATATGTCTAAAAAGGCTATTGTGACAGGCTTAAGTGCGAGCTTTCATTGTATCCTTAGGCAAGACACTTCACATTGCCTAGTATGTATGTGGTTTGGAGTGGCTGGTAGTGGCCAAAGAGGATAAATCAGATATATTTTGTTCTGTAGTTTCTGTGTTTCTCTTTTTCTCAGATGTCCAGTGACTCAGGACTTCTGCCTGTGGACGGATCATGTAAGACTTACACTAGTACACACTTAAACCTTTTTCTTATTCATCCATAACAAAAATATGTGTAGTATGATTATGAAAATAGGTCCTCATATTGAAAGTGATCTGGCGATTGCTCAAAGTTATAATAAGCCTCAGATTCTGCTAATTATTAACTTTACCTGAATGATAGTTTTCACAAATTGAAAATAAAAATGCTAAATATGATACAGCTGTAATTTGTTATAATCCTCTATGGTAGAACCTGTCCACCTGATCTCACCCTCATACAAGTTCAGTATTTATAACTGTGCTATGATTCTCAAGCCTTCTACTGAAAGTGTAATCCTCTCTAAGTGTTTCTAATCAACTGCCATTTATGTTGCTAATGTTGATGACTGTGTTTTGAGCAGCTGCACTGGATGTGTTGTTGGACATGTCTAAAGAGGACAAATCTGTGAGTGATGCCATCACCCCCGCCAGCAGATGGTCAGTCCCAGGACACTTTAGCTCCTACCAAACTTAAAAATATCATCCATTACAACATCCATCCATCCATGTTTTTCCTCTTTATCCGGGGCTTGATCACAGAGGCAGCAGACTAAGCAGGGAGGGTCAGGCTTCCCTTTCCACACACACTTTCTCCACTATTTTGATACACCACTTTGAGAAAATAAGTTCAGTCAAAATTATGAATACCTTTATTATGAACAAATTTAGCTAAGTGGGGACATAACACCACTAAAATGCTCTATCAATTCAGAAACAGATGAAAATCATTGCTTCAGATCATCTCACAACTCCCAGCTCAGTGTCTCATGAATCCCACTTTGAGAACCAAACGCTCTTTAGAGGTTGTTTAAATAATCACTTTGTTTCAATTATGCAAATGTTGTAAGCTTTGGCTATAATAACTTAAAGGGCCCATATTACACTACATATAATGTTGTTGTTTCATTCACACGTTTAACACACAAACCCTGTATATTTAGGTTGAGTTCTTCTCTCAAACAGAACACACTCCTTGTGATGTCATGGGTTAATACAGGAAGAGCTCCACTGAGTTGTTAAACTCTGTACACCTTCACTAGAATTATTTGGATAATTTCAGCTCTGGAATTGCAAGTCTCTACTGAACAAAAGGTAAAAGGTAGCTATTAACTTGAAAACTACCACTACATGTGATCACAAGGTGGAACAGAGCATTTTGAGCTTTGGAGACAGACTAATAATACAGGGTTACTCAAGCATGTGTGAATGAAACAAGACGCAACTCCAGGTATCATTTTGAGGAGGTAATAACATTCTAACATGGCTTAAAGATCATAAGAGTCCATTTTTATCTATCTCATGTAATAATACTACCCCACATTCTCACAGAAACATTCTTAGTGTCTGTGCATTGTTGTAGGTCGCCTCAGGAGGAGCTGCCACCTGTGATGGAGCCGATCGCAGAAGAAAACATAGAGATGCCCGAGGAGCAGACGGAGGGACAGAGCAGTGAGATGATCAGGTTAGAAACACTGAGATTCAACACCTTAAAAATTAATTTAACCTGAACTGATAATAATTTTTCTATGGAGAATAAGTAGTAACTGGTATCAAGTACTTAATTTTTTTAATGACTAATAAATGAGAAAATGTTGTGTGGATTGTTTCAACTCAGTTAGGAAAAAGGACAGCTGCTTTCAACTTAAAGTCAAGTTAGCTCTGGTGATATGGTGCAGCATAAAACAATAAATAATAGTAAAAAAATATATTAAGTATGACAAAGTTAAAGGCAGGTATAAAAATGTGTTAAAATTAAATTTAACTTTGACTGAATATAAAAACAAAATACTGTATACAATTGAGCAACGTAACTAACTTACAAAACTAACAATAGAAATAGTATTGGGCTTTAAGCAAATGTATCAATAGACCACAGAGTGGCAGCCTAGCTCATGCAGTAGTACTATTATTAGAGTTTAATGGATGCCCTCATTGCTTACTCATGTTTTGTTTTGCAGTTGGATCTGTTCCCATCTGCAGAGGTCTGGAGAAGTCGCCTTTGACTCGCTGCTGCCCCCAAAGGCCAACCGCAGCACTGCAGCTCACACACTCTGCAGACTGCTGGGTAACACATATCATTTTTTATCTTGTTCTGATTTGTCGGAGTCAAAGGAAAATGCTAAAATAAATGTGCAACATTTTAAATACTTGTTTATTACTGTAAGTTATGTCTTTTGCATTCTTGTTTTGCTGATGTGTTTGCTCAGAGCTCCTCTCTGCTGGACGAGTGAAGGTACAACAGGCCGAGCCCTACCACCAGATCCTCATCAGCCCATTATGAACTCAAAAATGGGACTTTGACTGGCTTAATGTTTTTGATATTTAACTGTTTTTATTGTTAACTTATTCATGAAATTGAAAACTGAAGAACTGCAGTATCTTTTTTAAGATTCAGTTTTAATGTTTTTAATCGTGTTCAGTGTTTTTAACATGAACTGTTCTGAGAACTATTTCAACATTTTTGTATTACATGTTTTATACACTGTTTATAATAAAAGAATAATTATTACTAACTAGTTATTCACTACTAAATCATGACTTGAAGATATTTGAAAAGAGTAAACACAAATGATAGGTGTTGAATGGTAAAGCCTTTTGCTTATTGAGCATCTCAGTGTATGCTACTTACTACAAAGTTTCATATTCTTGAAAGGTCAGCTATGCTTTGATAACTTTTAAGTTAGAGCTAGAAGTAAGGTTTTAAGGATATTATATTAATTTATATTCATGGATTACAAAATGATGAATGTTGCCATAGCAATAAACAGTTTTACAAAAATTAAGTCCTCAAAACTCTGCATATAACAGGAACTTGACACACTTGAAAAAAGCACTACAACCTAGTTACAAACTAGCTTACAAACTAGTATGAATAATTCAAGTAGTTCCTACCTATTAACTTTCAAATAATTACACAGTACACAGTTACTTACTAGTGTATCACCTAAACTCAGTGTTCACTATTTCAAACGCTGGATGACATCAGCCGTGTTGCCTCTCTCTAACCTCATGCAGAGATTACTGCACAATAGAGGTGGTGTTCAGATGTTTATATGGTTGAAATGCTCTGTGCCCTGTGAGACAGAGCAGAGGAAGAGCACATGGCACCTCTCTGTGACCAAGGTTTGAGCTGAGGTCAGAGCTGCAGTCACTGAGCAGAAATCCTCATTCACATCACCACAGAGGAATGAGTACTCCGTGGTACATTCAGGGTCTGGGCCAAAACTAGGCCATGTCAAATGAACTGTTATGTAGTGGTTTAACGCAATATGGGATTATTTTGCTTTGAAGGACTTTTTTCTACTTTAAAAGATAACTACTTTTACTTGACTTTGATTTCAGGCTCATGGATAGAAAAGTACATTCTGTGAATCCAGTGAATGCGTTACTTGCATTTACATTCTTTTAATCTCAGTCACCAGCCTCCTGCACACCTGATGTATGGCTCTTTGCTATATATAATGTCAGCCCTTGGAATCTAGCATAGAACTGACTCTAGTCTGTAATCCAAAACAACCATCTGTATCTTGGGCCCTATTACTTGGGCCTGGTGATGGCATTAAACACATAAACAATCACATATTTGTCTAAAGGCAGAACATGCAACACTGAGCTGTGAATTGCCATTTATCAAAAATATGATCAGCTTAAGTATTCAAGGAATGAGAGGGCACAATGAGCAGGCATTTACGCATAGTCTCATGACTCTTGTGCACACTTCTTGTCGATGTCAAATTCTTGCAATCAAAGTGTGGTTAAAATAAAAGAAGCTATATTGCAAAATGTTATATGGTCATACTTCTGCAAAACCCAACTGCTCCATATTGCCCACCTGTGAATTAGTTTAAATGTGCCAAAGAGATTGTCTTCGCTTGTGCCCTGTCAGTCAAAGACATTTCTCTTAGTGGAGTTTGTATGTTTCCCCAATGTTCATTTTGGTTCATTCCAGGTGCGCTGTCAAAAGATTTTGGCAGAATGAACAAAATACTCTTTGAATTATTTGTAAATATATGCTCAAGCCTTCACAAGTTACTGGACTAGGCTACTAGGCTTGAACCACTACTGAATCCAAAAAAAAAAAAGTAGAAAGTTCCCTTGTGATTCAAAATATTTTGCAGAGAATTGAACCCAGAACCTTTTTGTTGTGAGGCAAAAATGATTCTAGCAACTATTCCACTGGAGCAACCTGTCAGGAGACTGATGTGCAGTATCTGGGGACCACACTCCAGATCTTGTCACAGGACCTTGACTATAACTACTATTACATCAAGTTAAAGAATTAAATAGCTTGACTGAATAATTTAAAAAGAATTAATAAAAGTAGATTTGCTCACATCATGTTGGAAGTGTGGCTTCACCATGTCCCGGCCAGAAAGACATCTCCGTCCATCAGAGCTGTGACAGTCTAATAAAGCTCACATCTGTACGCCACATTACGCACCCTGACACCGACTGCTTATAAAGGCTGAGAGGGCAGTGTCCAATCGCATTTCACAAACAACAACTCACACTTCGCACAGGCCATTGGGTCCTCAGAGCTGTGAATCATCTGCTGCCACCGACGCACCAAGCAGCTCACCCACCATCGGGATCACAAACAAAACAACACCATCGGTCAACAAGAGCAAGCCACTATAACCAAAAGGTGGGAAATGTGTTATTGTTATTTATAAACCTGTCATATTTACTTGTATAACTTTTGCATGGTAGGGTCAATTTCTCAAAACAATTCCTTGGTTTCTACTTGGGAATACAAACTCTGATTGTGTTTTGTCATGTAATAACTAAGATTAAGAAGTTTGGGTGTACATTGACACTGTTAATGAGGTGCAAAATTTAACTTTTTACTGCTTTGTCTCCCCCACATTCAAACAACCCACACATTGGAGTGTTTTAAGTCTCATCTTAAGATGTACTTTTATTCTCTGGCTTTTAACATCTCTGAATTATGTGGTTTTCTGTTGCTTTTTACAGTTCCGTTTTTAATGATTTTATTTATTTATGCCTGTTACTTCAGTTGATTGTTTTATGTATTTATTGTGTTTTATATCACGACATGCAGCACTGTTTGTAAAATGTGCTACAGAAATTAAGTGGATTGATTGGACAAGTAGTAACTGTAGTTCTTGACTATTGTCATTTTGAAAGAATCCGTGGGTTTCAGAATGATGAAAATTTTGGATTGTTGCCTTAGCGATTAACTATTTAAACCAAAAATATATCTTTTGAAAATCCTCAAACTGACCCACAACAAGTAAAATAATTTTTTTGCAATCCAGCCTGCCTCTTTAAACTACATCTCAAAAGCAAATTTTATTAAGGATATCTTTCAGTGTCAAGCTGGCGGCCGACCAGATCAAGCGTTCCCAAAAGGAGGATGGGCGGAGACGTAGAGGACGGGACGGTACCAAGGAGCCCATAGTAAGAGTCGAGCTAGAGTGGGACATCCCCATGGCCGTGACTCTGCCCATCGAAATGCAGCCCGACCCTGCACACCAACCGTTCCCTTTTCTTGAAACAACCCTGGCAGATCTGGGAATACAAGAGTAAGTTCACAAAGTATTCTGAAACTGAATTAGTTCTGGATCTGATATTAGTATTTTTGGGTTACAGGTCAGAGGTGAAGGAGAGGGTGGTGTGGGTTGACACTACAAAGACCCAAGTGAAGAATAAAGCTGGGAAACTAAAAGAGAAAGAAACTACTATTCTGGAGGTAAAAACAATACAACTTCTACCTTACTTTAAAGGACTTAGTAGTTTATAGTAATAACAGTTTAACCAACTCAACCCTAACTGGCATTTGAGCAACCCAAAAAAACACTTTCACCTTTTGGACTGGATAAATCACTAGTTTCCAAGACCCTTTGCTTTGCCGGACTCAAAATGTACAGTCTGTGATAAAGCATGCATGAAAAAGGTCAAATGTTTTGCAGGTGCGAGTGAAAGCTCAAAAGCCCGGAGACAAGACTCTCCAGGAAGTCCTATACAGCACCGAGGCCCACACAGACCGCTCATTCTGCCGAACAGGAATGGATATAGTTCCTTGGAAACAACATTACACAGGTACAAGAGCTTAAAATATTATCCCGACACTAGATTATAAACTATCCTACTTTATTCACAGGGGGTAGATGTGACAAACTTCCCATCATCACTAAGGAGGTGTTTGTTATTCCTGTTTCTTTGGCAGGAGAAAATGAACTGGAGCCAGTGCAGATGACTATGGTGCTGAATATGGAAAACAGACACTCCAAAGGCACCAAAGCACAACGGGACATCTGAGGAGCAGCAAGTCACCAACTGCTAACATGAATCACCTACGAAGCTGACAACAAAAGGCTTATTATAAACCCCTGCAGTACTTCACTATTATTAGACTGTAAAATGTAAATGTTTTGTACAAATATGTGTGCTTCCATGCTGTACATTGGCACTTAACAACAGAAACAGTCTGAAAGAGTCATACAAAATTATTATATTTATCAAGATATTCAATCCATGTCAGTCCTGAACAGTTCTGAAGTTTGTCCAGATGTTAAAATGGGACAAAAGCAAACTGCAGTACTGTATTTTGCGCACTATAGGGCACTCTGGATTCTAAAACGCACTGTCATTAAATGGACTATTTTCGAACTTTTTTCACAAATAAACCACACCGGACTTTAAACGAAACACAACAGTTAGATGGGTCAGTCGGACGTTATTTGGCGCATTCACAGCGACTCTTGGCTTTGTTCAATTGTGGCGCATAGGGAGGGTGCTGTCTGGGACCGCTGGATTGTTGCCGTGTTCGCAGTGACTCAGTTGTTCAGTTGTGGCTAGAAGTGGCACATTGCACTCGCTTTTTCGGTTCGTTCCTCTGTTCCATTCCTCGTCCGCATGGAGAGATGAGTGTAGCTGCGGGTGTTTTTCACTGCACGGTCACTGTTTGCTCCGTGTGTGTTCGCGTACGCTGCAGGTGGTGCGGCTTAGTAGTTTACTCAAGTCGTGCTGGGACACCCGAGAGGATCCATGTATAGGGCGCTCTGGATTGCAGGGCACGCAGTCGTTTTTTGATGGGGTTGGAGGCTTATGAGCACGCCCTATGGTGCGGAAAATACAGTATTTTATACATATGAAGGCCAATTGGAAACCCTGATTGTAACATAAAAGTCCAACTCTAAAAATAATAAAACATTAACCCATTCTAACAACAAATAAATACAAATGAATAGTCAGAGAAGTTAATAACCACGTTAGAACTAGGCATGGGCATGATTAGTTGATTAATCGATAATTGATCATTAAGAATTTCATCGATTACGTTCATTTTAATCGACAGACCGAATGTAGGTTGCTGTGAGTAGTGTGACCAAACGGGGGTCCGTACATGTAGCTCTCTGCACTCAGAAGGAGCGAGCAGACACAAACAGTCGGTCAGTCTGCAACGCGCTGAAGCACAAATGCGTATTTAACGATTTGTACAAGAAATTCCACGCTTTCCTTTCCAGTCGGGACAAGTGGGAGGCCATGTGCACAGTGTACAAAGCAGCACATATATTTCAGTGTCCAGTGGGAAAAAGCTTTGCCAGGTGAGAGTAGCGCAATGTCAATGACGAGGCCCCACCTCCCACCCCCTGTACGGTGTCCTGGTTTTGACAAACGCAAATATGGTCACACTAATCTGTATTCCACTGAGTCATGTCTTTTAATCCGACAGAAGTTGACAGCATCAGCGCACAAGAGCTCTTCGCTTAGTTTATGCAAATTAGCGATGCGGTTTTAAGTTTCGTTTCTGTGAGAGTTGCGCAAAACTGAATTAAACACATTATAATGTCAAACGGGCTGATGTGGCTCTAAAGTGGTTACGGTTTATCTGTCGTAAGGTTGAATTTATTTATGCAGATTAGTAGTGCAGATAGTAATAATAATGATGATAATTTAATATAAAAACGTTGATTAATCGATAATCGATCGTTAATTCTTCCGACGATCAATTAAGAAAAATTCATCGAATACCCATCCCTAGTTAGAACAATGGTTCAAATGCTATATTTAGTTTGCTGGATTAAGTTCAGTCCCATTTATGTCAAAGATGGTGCTTGCTGAGGCTAGGAGGAGATGGCTACGCTGAGTTTAGCCTGCTGATCTCCAGGAAGTGCTGTTACTGCTGTGTGGAAGTCTGCGGAGTGCTGCTGGGCCAGCTGTCTCAGGAGAAGGGCCACTGTGTTCTGGGTCTCTGTGGGAAAGACAAAACTAAAAACTGAAGAACAAGCAAAACTATATATCAAAGGAATCAATACTTTCAATAAAAGGTCTTAGATCATGTAGAGGTATCACGCTTACCTTGATCAACATCTTTATGGCCCAGGACATGGGTTGAAGCTGCTACTATTGGCTTAATCTGCTGCACAACCTGAAAAAGACAATGGTATGGAACAAGTTATGCTCAATGTATGGGGCAAATAAATCTATAAATGTAACATTGTTTAATAAAATGGCTTAAAAACTCTGTCTACATTGTTTGACAAATGCTGAAAATGTGAATTTCTTAGCATGTTAATTCAATTAATAATTAATGAGCAAAACGGTAGTTTACCACAGCAGGATTTCGGGTGTAGAGCATGGCCAGGCAGTTATAAACCGTTTTGTTTTCCAACAGGTCTTCTTTGAGCGGGAGTCGAGCCACCAAAGCCGGGAAAACCTATTACACAAACCACTGTGAGACGATTTTAAAACCGGTCTGATTTGTGCTAAATGCAATTCAAAACAATCACCTGCTCCAGCGGGACAGCATCTGCATTGCCCATAATCATCCTGCAGAGGGCTCCACACAGGTTGTCCATCACTCTAAGGTCAGACTCATGGGCCAGCAATTTAGAAAACACTGAGAGCATCATGGGGTAGTCTCTGAACAGTTGCTAAGGGACAGTTGTATTTATATACTGAATACACTGTATAATGAATCAGTAAGGTGGAAGGATACGATGCTACAATCGGTCCAGCAGCCTCGGCCAAACAGCCCAAAGCATAGACACTGTTGTTGCGCACTTCGTCGTCAGAGTCCTTCACCCCTGCCACTAGCACAGGAAGCAGCCTATTGGACAATCGGCCCGCCAGGCCCCGCCCACCGGGTGCCTTCACCAGAGCAGCCAATAACTCTCCAATAGTGCCCACTGAGAACGAGCGCTCCGCCACAGTACAAGAGGATTTCTGCCAGAACAAGTTTCATAATTATAGAAATATAAACTCACACAATGACTTGCTTGGTTCTTAACATTATAGTGCTATGCAGTTCAGTGTGTTTTCTTGAGAGCTGCTTCAGACATTGTGATGAGTCCAAGCTCATTTTATTAATTTCATTTTAAAATAACTTACAGCTTTGCTCATGATCAGCGGCAGCAAGTCATTGAGGAAAGGGGCAAAGGCATCTGCAGGTACAGCAGCTGCCACTAGGGGGATGCCTTCCCCTGCGTACTCCTGCAACATGGCGTCGTACTCTGCCTGAAAACAACATCATGAGTAACTCTTTTTATTCATCTGCGCTGCTTTGTGCCAGATCACAAACCTGTTGATCATCGTCATCTGCATCATCACCACCGTCCTGACAAGTCGTCTACACAGACAAAAGGAAAAAAATATATATTGTAATGACACATTGTATGTGCTGGTTGGATGTTGCCTGCATCTGGAATCCTATACAACTTGCCTTTTTCTTTAGCACATCTGTAATTGTGCTGCAAATTTCTTTGAGTCGTGTGGGGTTTTTGAACACCTCTCCTTTGCAGGATTTTATAACGCTGTTAATCGTGTCGAGAACTCCCATCACTACCTGCCGCTCCTCATCAGACTTGACTGCCGTGAGGAGACAGGGCATCACCACATCCAACAATTTGTGTAAAGCTGTTGTAATTACAATTAAAAAAACAGGTATGTCTGAATGAATATACACATTTCTACATTACTTTATGCAACTTAATATTGATGATAGCAGATTTTAAAAGTTTACCCTGGTAGTTGCTGTCAGTGAGATTTTCCTTCCACACTTTATACTGAGCACTGCAAAATTGGCCCATGGCTCCCATTGCTGCCTTGCGTACATCATCATGAGCATACTGGAAGAAAGAAAACATAATAAACCTGCAGGCTAAAGGTTCTTTAGTTCTGAAACATCCAAGTTACATACTCATCAAGTTATACATTTTTGGATTAAATTAAGAACAGACCAATACATTATTCTAGAATACACAGAGCATACACACAAAGCTCTTTACAACACATTAGGCCAAGAACTGTGACTTACATCTCTCATCTCGTAAACCTGCTGAAAACACGTCTCCAGGAACGGCTGGAATGCAGCACTGTACACAATTACACAAGATAACATATTAAGCGTGCATGCCAAGAACCAAAGTATGTGGATGACATTTTTGTAACAAGACAAAAACTCTGCTCATTTTCATACCCTGTGTTGACAGCTATTTCTCCAAGTGCGTCACAGGCGTCTTCCTTCTCATCAATGTAGGCGTTTTCAACAGTGAATCTGAAAGGATCCGGCAGAGCGTTAGCCTCCCGTTTTTGGGCAGTTTTTAGTGTTTAGTGTTTGTTTGTACGAATGTACCTTGAAGCCTCGAGGACTTCAGGCTCAGTGTCATCTTCTAGGAAGTCATTGACATCTTTCTCTTCATGCTCCTCCTCATCATCATCTTCCTCATCCAGGAGCACAAATGTTTTGTCTTCCTCAACGTGTGCCTTGAAAAGATGCACACAAAAAAAATCTACATTCGTAGTCCTCCAGGTACATACTGGTTAATGGGATGTTTCTAGCTCCATACTGTAATTCCCTCGTTGGACTTGAGAGCCAGCACCATGACAGTGGTGATGGCAGTGAGATGAGGAGTCAGGCTCTCAGGGCTGACAGTAGACACAGCAGAGTATAAACTGTACCTGTACAACAAACAGCAGACTGATCAGAGAGGTTCTATTACTAAGTCTCATCAATCATTACATGAGAATACTTTTTTCTTTTTTTTTTCAAACAGGTCAGGTATGTATAGCTGAATTCTGTAAAATGCCATACGTGCAGCGTCTGAGGTCAGGATCATCTATGTTGTCTGTGAGGTTGAGTCCCAGACGAACACACTCTGCAGCAAGAGGACTGAAGACGTCTTTGCCAACAGTGCGGGCCAACACAGACAGAGTGTCTAGAGCAGGGGGAGGAATCAGACATTTATTCATAAATGATGCTACTGAGATTTACCCTGCATTTACGTTACTAAAATTTAAAATACGACAAGTGTGTTTTTCTTACCCAAAGACTGCGTTTGCAGAGATCTCATCTCCTCAGAGGTGGCAGTGAGAAAACCCTTCAGACTTTCAATAACTGGGGGGAAGTAGGGAACTAGGAGCTCCTTGGCAGCATTGGCTGTAAAAGAGGATTCAAAATGTGGGTTTAATGCCGTACATTGAGCTATAGATATATAGAATGTCCTTTTCGATTTTATTACTTCACCTATGGCTCCAATAGCAGACACAGCAAGCTCCTTGATCCTGAGGCTCTCTGAATTGTTGAGGGTAGACAACATGGATTCCATCAAGGTGGGAAGGTAAGGTTCAATACCAGCACCTGAAAAGTAAATAAACAAAATACAAAACTATGCTTTTAAATGGGGTAAGTTTAATTGTTGTTTTTCTTGATCTTACCCAGATTTTCCATGAAGTTTTCCAGTGCATAAAATGCTTTTGTGACATGAACAATCTTGGCTTGGTTCAAACACGACAGGTATCCCAATAGCAAAGGCATCAGCTCTGCACAATATTTACTGATATCCGGCTTTTTATGTAAACAGGGAAGTTTTTTATTATTACATCAACAGTTACAGACATTTAATTTAAAAACAACATTGGTTTTGGTTTGTTACCTGCAAATGTTCTGAGAATTGCCCAAGAGCAAAAAGGCCAGCACTGCGCACCACCTGATTACTATCAGAAAGACTCTGGCAAACAGTCTGAAGCACTGACGACAGCATCCTGGGAACAAACCACACAGAGGAAGTTACATACTGGGTCAAAAAATGGATGAAAATTAGATGAATTAAATATATTTACTTGGTGCGTATATAGTCGGCACAACCCTCTGCCAACACGGCTAAGCACATGAGGCCCCCTTTCCTCTGATAGGGGTTTTCACTGGACAGCGCTGCATGAGCAAGAGGCATCTGTTGAACGTTAACAAACACATACTGTAACATTAACAATGATAATAAAATTATTGTGATGAAGAACATGCTAACTAACCAGCTGCTGGAACAGTTTCTCTGGAGGCATGTGTAGTGCCATGGTGTCAATAATCTGTAAACAATTTAAAGCATTACTATGTTCAGAAAATATTCATACTAAGAAAGGCAATAGCCATTAACTCCTTACCTGAGCAGCAACATGTTTGGGGCTGTCATGTTCTTCGCCATCTTCATCCTCTTCATCCTCAGGGTCTTCTTCACCAGGAGGGGGTGCTGAAGTGAGCACAGGGAAAATGGACTGCAGAATGGGATTCAGCAGTTTCTGCTTAATAACAACCTACAAGAGAATCACAAGAGAAATATCTTTGTTAGCATTTTCGGTGGGTGAAAAAGTCCTCCAGTGTAAAATACTGGAAAACTTACTTTGCTCTTTAACTTGATGAGGAAGGTGAGACAGGAGAGACCTTTGACACGCAGGGAGGCATCCAGAGTGATGTCAGTGCCAACCTGACCAAAAACGCAAATCAGTATCACAGTCGGTACACAAACTGCGTGTTTAAGCGATAACAATAGCAAATATAAAATACCTCCAGGCAGAAGTTGACAATAGCGGCAACATGTGGCACAATTATGGAAACCTCACTCTCCATAAGCTCATTGAACACCTCCATAGCCTCACTGGCTTGATCCTGAAAATTAACTTTATTAGATTTATTTTATTATAATTGTAAATTCATAAATGCTCTTTGTTTACCTGATTTGCTTTGATAAGTGATTTCAAAGCAGTGATAAGACTTGGAATCATGGAGCGCATTTGGTTCTGGACAGCAGAATAGTTTTTTTCTCAAATAAACTCTTTTAGGGATAAATTGCGCGGTTGGTAAAGTTTGTGTGGAGGCTCACCATCTCCTCTGAGCCGGTGTAGGGGGTGAGAGCAGTGATGGTGGAGATGCAGTAGAACAGAGCTGTGGGGTTGTTCAGGTCCTGCAGTACAGTGGACAGCAGCTGCAGCAGTTGACAGTAGTGAGGCTTGAATGGCTCAGGGTTTGACTCCACAACTTTAGCCAGCAACAGAAGGCCCACCTGCAAACAAAACACTCCAAGTTAGGGTTAAACACAGAGACAGGATATAAGAGAGTTCCACACCCCTTTTTATTTAATTGCACAATTTGATCAGGCACAGTGGCTAGGGTACCACACCTGTCTGTCATGAGGATTGCTGCTCTTAGTGGCCTGATTGAGAAGCTGCAGCAGAGCAGGCCAGCGGTCAGGAGTCTCATGTTTTACCATCACAGCGCAGAGCTGGGAGAGAGAGTGCTGCACAGAGTGTCTGAAACACACATTTAAATATGATGAGCATAAAGGTAGGCTTTAGAATGACATTCTAACAAAGTACACTCACTCTGTCTCCTGCATAAATGCTTGCAGAACCACTGCCTTCAGGCTGTGCAGGTAAAAGATATAGGATAGAGTAAGAGACCATGACAAATTATCTAAAAATAAAAATATGACTTCTGACCTTTCTCTGTCATTGGGACTTATTTTCTTCCAATGTTTTTTTACCCTCAGTCTCAGCATCACTGTAGCCGTCTGACGAATCTACAGGGCGACAAAACGTGTCAGTAATGCCATCAACACCTAGATAACATTATGTCATTGACTTTCACCCAAACGGCACAAACCCTGTACCTGTGGACTCTGAGATCCACTGATGACAGCACACAGGGCGGGGATGATGGCAGGATCTTTAAACGCTTCTTTGAGCTGAACTGTGGCCTAAATAAAAAGTTTACATATATAAAATATTGTGTTAACTGAGGAATACAATACACAAGAAATATTTTGTCAGAAAACTGTTACTGGATATTAGTGGATATAACACTGTGAGATGATGATCATTTCAAATAATGCTCCTCCAGACAAGTTACTGGGCTATGTAGCCTTATAAAGCGTTGACAGTTAACAATAGAAACATTGGACATTTTGATATAATCTGTCTCTGTGTCTGGATCATGAAATCCCCCATAATGACCAAGCTAACTTCTTAAACAAGTAATTCCTAGTATATCCTGTTACCTGCTGAATAACTGCATTGTCCGGCTCTGTCAGCTGAGAGAGCAGCTTTTCAAGTTCTTGTGTCATTTTTCCTCGGCAGGGCTCGGTTCCTCCTTAGTTTAACCTTCTCCGAATAGCAAAGTTTGACAGCTTGTAGGTTGTAAGTTTTGTGTCTCCAGTAACTGTCCAAAATGTCAATTAGCAAAGCAACAGCGACGCAGCTTTTTGATCTGTATTGGCAGATCCGCTCCCTGTTTGCGGTCGTTTGTTTAGTCTTTATTTCTGAAGAGTTTGGAGGTTCGGCTCGGTGTGGTCCGTTACAGCTGCACGCGGACAGAGCCGGCCACAGGTCCACGTGAACCCCGTTAAAGGGACACACATGTCAGAGGGGAGCAGAAAATGCACAGCGCCTCCAAATGGACAGGAGGGGTTTTTACGATCATCTGATATTCAATGACAAAGATAAATTCCCCATTAATAATGGAGACTGGTGGCTGCCCATAGTCTATTTTTTGCTCAAAAATATACTATAATAATATAATACATTTATTGTTACGCATCTTTTAAAAGTCTATTCTGAATGGCTGAGGCAGTAAGTAATTTACACTGACAGTGGACCAGGGCCTGTAGTTCTGAAAATGTCCTTAACATTTGAACTGTCACATTTAAACCTGGAGTACGTTTCAATCACCAACCAATTAAAGGCCAACAAGGTGACATGACCGAACTACTAAACAATACTTTCAAGTAATTTATGTAGACCAGGGATCCCCAACCTACCAGTAGCTCTCTAACCCTTTCCTTCTGAATTATATGTATTGCGCTCAATAACTAAAATCTGATTAATTACCATTGTAAATGTAATTTTGATGCTTAACTTGTACTTATTATGTTTAATAGGTATCTAACTGTACCCCATCTAAGGCTTGGCTCTTCTACTTTCTCAATATCTGGTGACTGCTAAAACTAGTAGTTCTCTGGCATTTCCATCTTTATAAAAGGTAGCTCACCAGAGGATGTATTACAAAATTCAAAGGTGTGTTTTGTGCATTAAAATGACAACTATAAGTCATATTGATATGAACATACATAAGACTAGGATGAACAACATTATGTCTAGCTGTGAAATGTTGTGTGTTTGTTGTTTGCGTCAGAAACCAGGGCAGTAATTTTCCAGGTCATATGGAAATGTTCCAGAGTCTGTGGAGGCTTGGACAAACCCGCCCTGTCCGGGCTGTGATCAGTAGAGATGCAAATGGCCCATTAGGCTTGGTGTTTCACTGCTCTACTCACTCATTACCACTTCAATGCACATAAGGAGGAGGAACACAAACAACATCTACAGGCTCAAACAGCTAATGCGATTCATGTTTTTGAAAAGAACTACTACAACGCATGATCACAGTTCGTAACAACATGTCCTATCTCAAAATAAACTTTAAGCAAACACTGGGCCTGAGTTTATGTGGTACATGTCTTAAACCCCCTTGAAAAAGAGATGCTACATCTCAAGGGAATGTGCCTCTCTCAAAAAACATTCAAATGATAGAAATTGATGCAAACTAGTCACACAACAGTATTCTAATTGTGCATTAGTATAAGTTAGTAGTTATTTTTATAGTTAAATAATACATTTACTATATTTAAAACAATATGGTATCTTTATTCTAAAACATCCAGTAAAATCCAAAATATTCCCCAAACGCTGGAATAAATAATATTATGTGATTGTTGAAGCTACTATTTTAGAATGTGTTTACGTCTTTATGTTACTTCTGCTTATTGTTGTATACATTTTCTCGCAAATTACTAATGAAAAGCAAATGTTTTGAATTAATTGCCACTATTTTCAAAATAAGCTCCACTGCCCTGTGAGGTGGGCGTCTGCTCCAGGAGCTGAAGGTGTGGAAGAGATTGGTCCGTGTAAAAACACCACACCCACACACCTCTTATAAACAGCCTATGAAGGACTGCGCCCAGATTTGAACAAGGCTCTTCGGGACAGTCTGTGTGGGTCGGGGTCGTTTTTGTTCATGTGTAACTTTGAAGGGGCCTGATTTTTTATTTTTTTTTCACCCCAAGATTTTTTAAATCAACTTTAGCTTTCCACCATCGACTGACAGGCCTGCAGAATGGCGGACTGGAAGGCACAGATAAATTACAACTATAACCCATCTTACCATGCCTACGCTTACGGCCTCATGTACCAGCCCGGATCAGAACAAAACCAAGTTAATACGTCTTCTTGGGCCGATTCCGGATTCACAGATCTGGGTAATTACACTTCGACCCAGGGCTACCCTCCCGCTAGCGCCGCACCGAAGAGCCCCGAGCGGTCTCCGCCGGAGAGCCCGGAGCCGCACGCCTACAGCGGCCACGGCCAATACCAAAGCACCGGGCTGGTCTACCTCGGTGATAGTGAGGCAAGCAGACTTCGTTTAACGGGACAAACTCGTGAAAATGAGGCCAGACGGACTGGAAGTGACTCCGCCAGCGACTCTGAGCCGCAAACTTCACCAGGTACAGCTAAATCAAGCACGTGCGCTTGTTGCTAGCACTCACAAAGAACTATTGTATTTTCAGATTATTTGAGCGTTTCTTACTTCTTTCCCAATGCGTTCCCAACTTTTTAAGGTCTCCAAAATTTCCAGTGATGTCAAATTTGGATCCATGATGTTTTATTTAGATTATTGTAATGTCCTGCCAAAGCCACAAAAATCTCGCGATAACATAAACATTTCAGCGGCTACGTCATGTGATCTTCAATTCAACGATTTTTCACATTACCCATTCTGAGATCTCTATTACTTGAATACATTTTATGCAAGACAGTGAAAACAATGGCACACTGGCCCACATACTTTTGGTCTACTTGTTTCGCTACTTTGCACTTTCCCCTGTTTTCTACTTTTAACATTAGTTTAGTTGATTTGTATTTAATCAAACAGTCCTTTTTATATGTGTATGCTCTATAATGGAGTTGGAGCCTTATCTGTATTTAAGTGGAGACAGAAGATCTTTCCTCTTGTTTCAGATTCCTGGAGCTGTGGCAGTAGTGGTGAAGGCTGTCCCCCTCAGGCTGACCCTGCCACATGGGCTCACAAGGTTGACCTGGACGATGAGACCAGCAGCAGAAGTCCTGACTCTAATGAAGACGTTCCCAATAACGAGGAGCCCCAAACCTACCGCATTCTTGGCAATGAGGCTGCTAATATTACAACCACTTCTGCACCTTTAATCGCCCCAAAGAATCAAAGCACTACCAAAGGGAAGGTCCGGGCCTCTTTCTCAGAGAGCCAGATGAACACTCTGGCTCAGCGCTTCAATGTGCAGAGGTACCTCACTCCAGCAGAAATGAAAAATTTGTCAGAAGTTACAGGACTGACCTACAAACAGGTAAGTCTTGTTTAAATGGGGAAACTATGTTGTGATTTTCATGTAAATTAATGTACAGTGCTCTGTTATCTTTGTGTAGGTGAAGACGTGGTTTCAGAATCGAAGAATGAAGCTTCGAAGACACCAGAAGGACAACAGCTGGGCATCAGAGCGGTACACTATTAAGGACAATACAGGACAAGGGGCTGTGTTCACTAACCTCTCCTCGCACATGCAGTCTGTAAGTACTGCCTTATCCTGTATAATCTGATATTGTCTGGGTCCAGGTATTCTGTTTTACTGTAAATGGATTCAGTGGCTCGGACAGACATTAGCACATCCATTACGGAGGCCTTTCTATAGTCTGGGTGTGGCCTTAAAGGCGAGATGTGACAACTAAAAGTAGATCATTAACATTTTTTTTTTCCTCAAGTGCCAAACAAGCTGAGAAGGTTAAACTGCATCAAAGTTATAATCTGTCAAAATTAGGACTCAAAAGATGGAAGTACTTGGAGCTTTCTGCTTTTAATGTTTGAGTACATTACAATCTACTTGGCCAATTTTACACCTGTAGAAAAACATCTCGATGAATTCTTGATCACAGGAACTATTCAATAATCTATTCTTTCTTTAGTACGAAGGACAGAACAGACCGGTGCTGAACCAGCAGGTGATTGAGGCAGCCTTGAAGAAAACTGCAACCCCGAATCTGGCCTTTTACCTGGCTGCAGTGGGAGGAGCAACTGGGTCTACAGGTTACCCCGCCTGGTCATCAAACGCCCAAAATGCCCTGCATGGTAGACATCAGGCCCCGAGCTGGTCCTTGCCTTCAG